GGACGGGTTGAAATATTCATGTTTTGAATAAAATTTGTGTTCTAAGTCTACCAAGTCGTTGACATCTCATCGTCTTTTTCATTGAGTTATGTATCTAAGGAACACACGTGGATTACATCATGTTCTATATATATATATATACATATATATATATACATATATACATATACATAGGCCTATATATATATACATATTTATATATGCATATATATATATATATATATATATATATATATATAAAGATTATATATAAAATTTGACATGTTTTTTTTACATGTAAAAAATTAAAAATAATTTCTATAACGAATATTTACGTAAGCATTTGAAATTTTATAATTTTTATCTTAAGTTTTTTGGATGCATCACTATTAAATAGCGAGTTAAGAAGTGCTGATTATTTCAATAAAACCATTAAACCTTGAAACACAGCACAACAAATAAATATAAAACAGAACGCAATCTACCAGTAACAAGTAATTAGGTGGAGAGATCAACTTTTTTTGTATTTCCGTTTATTTCGCGAGGTCACAGGAAGCTTAAAACTGGCAGGGGGTTTCAAAATTAACATGTTTAAATGGATAAGTAAGGCACGGCATTTACGTTCGGATAGAAATACTGTACAGTATAACGTTTATGATAAAACTGAGAATGCGCTGGGTGTCCAACTACCCATTTGATCACTCCCTGCAGGTATGATAAAACATCGAAGAGAAAGCAAAGGAAGGCAATGGCCACAGGCGCAGGGAATCCTAAAGGTTGGTTAGCACACAGTAGGCCTACAGTAATCTAGTGTTAATCAAACCACAATCATTTTACTCAGACTTCCATTGTATTTTGAGGCCTAACACTAACTGTAGCACACATCGTAAATTGTTCGTCCTAAAAAAAAAAAAAGAAAAACCACCCACAAACATAACGAAAGCTTCAAAATCAATAATCTAATAAATTTACAACAACAAATGCGCGCATTTGCCTTAATTAATGCCAATAAAATTGTTATTTTCATGTCCTAGCCCTTATCAAAATTTGGAGACTCATGAAAAAAATTACCATAGGCTATTTTTTCAACAAACAAAAAAAAAAGCAATCATTTAAAAACGTTAAAGATTTTTGTCAAAGCCTAAGAAGAGATGGAAGCATAAATGGCTGACTACAGCAGAAAGATTCATTTTTGTACTTATTTTGTTTTTTTATATAAAAAAAAACTATTTTTATTATTTACCAGTCTGTATTTGTACACCACTAGAATAGAGGATAGTAAATAGCAATAGTAAATACCCTCACCAACAAAATAATTTCAAATCCCGGAAGTGAAATTAACAATTAATTTTATTTGGCCCAACACTCTCTTCCTTTCTTATAAACAAAATATAAAACCACCCTCATATTAAATAAAAATCATGCCCTCCAAATTACAGTATAATTGTAATTAACAGTGTGGCATAGCAGCTATCTACAAGTAACGTCCTTGACTTACTACTGAACTTGCTCTTTATTTAAAACCACCAGAGCGATAATGATTAATATCCCATACTAGGTGGATATATAAAGTAGTAACTGGAGTTTTTCTAAACAATTCTTTTCCATCCTGTCCTTGCCACCAAAAAAAAAATCGAGAATATTTTTCTCGATTTTTATTCTCGATCCAATTCTAAAATTAAAATAAAGTAAATTCTTTTCCATCCTGTCCTTGCCACCAAAAAAAAAAAAAATCGAGAATATTATTCTCGATTTTTATTCTCGATCCAATTCTAAAATTAAAATAAAGTCTCATATCATCAACTTTCGGATCTATGCATTTCGAAAATTGATAACTCTATGTCTACAAATGTTTTCAACCTCTTTCTTTGTTGTAGGATTTCCTTGTTAACAGCATATTGAAAGTCTTTATGGAATTATTATTACTTGGAATTGTCAGGATTCTTTTTCTATTGCAAACTAATTAACGTATTGAAATAAACAAAATTAAGCAATTCAACTTTCTCATATACTGTATATAATATATACATACATATATATAATATAAATATATATATAATATATATATTATTATATAGGTCTATATATAATATATATATACATATAAAATCAAAACAAGATGACCCTGCACTATATATATATATATATATATATATATATCATCAAAGAATGGTAATCTTGATTTATATATATATATATAATCTTGATTTATATATATATATATATATATATTATATATATAAACTGTTATGGTAAATTAAAACTAACGTAGCAGTACCGTACTATTTTTAATGTGTGCTTGTACTAACAATATGGTAATTATTATATAACGCTAACGGTTTGTAATCCACAAACAACTTGTTTCGCATACAATTGGTGGGTGCAATGGTGTTTCTATTGTCATCATAGAAAACCATGCTAGTTTATAAATAAATTTATAATATATAAAATAATTCAATTTTAGTTGAATATTTGATAAAAGCAGCAAGACATTCATAATATTCAGGCATGCACTTGAAATGTCATTATTACTTCAGTTAAATGACCGGGAAATCTGGAAATTAAAATCGACGACGTCATGTTACCTATAAACTGGGACCAACTTTATTTCCGGTTGTTCTCGTCGTTTGCTTTGCCTCAATATTTACAGTGCAATTGAAATATGAATATTCATACCAACATACAGTACAGCAGTTTATTCTGCCAAGGTATACTATTAACGTACTAGTAACAGTCTACTATTGTTTGTTTTTTTAACTATCGGTACCGTTCTTAAGTCCGTGCGATTTTAATTATTTTGCGTAATTATAACTTCATGATCGATTCATGCAGGTATGGTTACCTTTAGGCAAATAACACAAAAGACAAAGTAACCATTGTGATGTATTAACCATAAATGTGTCCAGATTGAAACAAGTGGTCAAAACAGACCTCGAGAATTACGATTAACAGGTACCACTTGTCGGGAATTAACAGCGGAAGTATCTCAGACTACAGAAGTAAAATACCGGGTGAGGCTCTTTGTTTGATTTAACAGTGTGTATATAAATTGAAATGTTATTATTTCCACAATTATTATCATTATCATCATTTTAGTGTCATTTTGTATTACTAGATAAAAATTATCATAATCACCATATACAGTAGGCCTATTTATATAATTATACCATCATGTAATCATAATAATAAATAATAATAATAATAATTAATAACAATTAAATACAGTAATAGCAATCAACATAATTATAGTAGTCATAATTTCTTCAATCATAATCATTTGAATCGTCATAATCATCAACATCATATGTATCTCAATTATGGTAATTGTCATCATCATTAATCATTAGCCTATTATGTCAATGAATTCAATGACATATATATATATATATATATATATACATATATATATATATATACACATATATATATATATATACATATATATATATATATATATATATATATATATATATATATCTATATACTGTATGTGTGTGGGGGTAGTGTGCGTGGAGGTGTGGGTGTGTGTGTGTGTGTGCGTACGTTCATAGTACTAGAATTCGTAATCGTTTAATTGGAATATGATGATGGTAATAGGTAGTTTCCGCAACCTACGAAAACGATCACGAATACGTCATTATCACTATCGGTCATTCAGGCCTAAAACATTCTAGACAATATGCTGTACGAGCCGAATGTGAGGCTTGATTCATGCAAAAGGCATGAATGGACTACGTTGTGACAGATATATCCTACTGTAGGGAAAGGGTTGTCTAAAAATTTGATGATGTACCGTATCTGTCCGTTATCGTTTCCGTAAGCTAGCGAAAACTCCCAAATTAATGCTTCACACCTGTCTCGTAATTGGTTGTTAATCCTTTAATTTGTCGTCTATTTATTAAACATTAAAAAATGACTAATGGAAATCATAAGGATCATATGATTAATGATAGGTACCCGAGAGGTACCTATCTAAAATGAATGGGTATAAAATTCAATAGGTCAGAGAGTTATCGCACATGTTGTTATCAAGTATTTCTCATACTTTAGCATTGCTGATGACCGGGAATCCCTACGAGTGTTCCATGCAGGCATTGAAAACACATGCATTTTTATCTGCACTAGTATCTGTTGATTAGTGGGCATACAGTATACAGTAATAAACCAAATACCGTTATCAACAACACAAATTTCAAGTAGGTAAATACTGTTAAGGTAGTGATAATTGAGTAAGTACACTAGACAGTAATCGAAAGTTACAATGGCAAGAACAATATTATCAATACAACGAGGCATAATATCAATCTATTGACGGAAAGGTCGGGTAGTGCTTTACATTTAATATAAAACATAAAATGATGCGTTGCTATAATCGGGGAGGTATTTAAGAACGCCGGCCAATGTAAATAACCATGTGCATTGGAATGAATGTTAGCTTTGCAAATTCGTGGGCACATTTCCAGGTCTGTTTATAAATTAAAATATAGGCATATCTTTATACATCTTTGGCGAAATTCTAAAACCCCAAAAAAATTAATTATCACCGACTCCGATTTTGGAAATTAACAAACGTTTTAAATGAAAATACCCACAGTATCTTTTAAAGGTATTGTTAATTTGTAAAGGTAAATTAACATGAAGGATTAACATGAAAGCAGTGGCTATTGGTACACCAGTGTGAAACAAATCCATCATCCAATCAAAATTAGGAATTGTTTAAGACTGGTGTAATTATACAGTAGTTAAAGCCTAACATGAGAAAGGTTGAAACGTACCTTGGCGAGTTGATGCGACCTTTCCTGTGCTAGCAATTAATATACCCTGTGGATGACTGTCTTCTAGAACGAATACTTCATCTTTGCCCGGCTTGGTTCGTTGTGATTTGGCACATTGTAAAGTGGCCTTGGGACCTATGGCTGCCATATATTTACCACTACTGTGCTTAAAAGCTGCCTTACCCCCATGAAACTCTAGAATGAAGAGGCTGTCGTCGGTGGGGGAATCCACTAGGCTGCCGGACGTACTCGCGTACTTCCCGTTGCATACTCTCAGGGCGTAACGACCTCCATGGAACTCCAGGGTAACAATCGCGTCTGCACCCCATGGAATGACTTCATTAAAGTGAAGTTCACCATCTTCTAAGTGAGCATATCTGTCGCGAATGTTGCTTCGAATATTCACTTGTGGGTGTATATCCATGTGTACAGTCCATAACTGCCTCTCTTCTGCTTTCGTTGCGTTTGTATTCACGGTATCGGAACACCCTAAGTATTTATCGTATGGAACACTTCTAAAGGCCCATCTTCCATCTGTCTGGGTCTCCACTCGAAACTTAGCATCGTCTGTCTTATCCTCCGCGCATGTAACATTACCCATCTTATCTGTCGTCAGGTAGAAGTTACTGTGTTTAAGATACACGGTGTCGTCTCCTCCTTGTTCTAAATTCCATCTTTGCTTTGCTTTTAACGACGTACCATCAGCATTAACAGAGTTTGCGAAGCCCACGCTGAGATATTTCTTGTCACTGTTCACTAGTCCACAGCAGTATTTCAATTCCGTCATTTTGTATCTATTACTGTAGCAGACTACTTTATAAAAAGTGTGCTTGTTCGTATGTTACTCTTGTACTGCCTACCTCTTTATACCTACTACGTAACTCAGTAGCTGTTTGAAACGAAATTCACGTGGAATTCTATGCAGTCGCCAGGTGGGACATTCAGCTACAGTGAATTGATAGCTTATTTTAGACTCACAAGAGCCTTCTCTGGTCTTACCTACTAGCCAAATCTTCCAAGTAATACTCCTTATAATCCTTCCACGGTGTACAAAACACTTCTTCCGGTAATTTTAGTAGATGAGTAAGCCGAACTTCTCTGTGCCTGTTCTAGGGGCGTTGGCTGTTACAAGGAATCCACCATTTACTGAGCCGGGGTGCTCATCGAATGCTAATAATCTCTTTTGTTGTTTCTAAACAGCTGAACGAGCACGTAAGCATGCGCACTAGCAATTTCATCCCTGGGTTGTAAATCAATACGGGTAAGATGCATGTACATCCGTGTCGCGTACACACAACTGCAGACAAGGGAAGACATGTATTAATACATCATATAATATACGTGAAATTGATTATAGAATGGCCCCACAAAACGCTTACCTTGTTTATCGAATTTTCGCAGGGTTTTGTTATTTTCGCATGGTGGCTTATCGACAATAGTCATTGAATTCGGATGAAAAGCGTGTTATTGTTAGTATAGCAAGAGCTAACTCACTGGCATTGAGGGGTTTATATAATTCATATTCCATTCTATACTACTAGACTGGGCCTGGGAAACGACCTAGCAAAAACAATTTGGCAAACTCCTAATACAGTAAGCCTGTCAGGAACAATTTGTTCCGGGGTCGAAATCGGTCCGCCGGACCGATTTTGGCTTTAAAATTACCTGCCAAATGTAGTCCACATAAAATCGGTCCGGCATCTATTTAGTAGTTATAACCTGTACTTTTTTTAGCGATTTGTTTTTAATCAAATAATAGATAAATATCTCATCTCTTATTATATATTTTTCCACCCGTTGTGTATGCAATTGAGAATACAGCTACAAAAATTAGTATATTATTTTTCTTCGCTTCCAGTTTAAACTCTTTGGTGTAAAAGTTAGAAAAAGAAGTTAAAGTATATGATCGTAAATCGTATTGGTCCGCTTTAGTTTATTTTTTACCTTGTTTTGTTTTGGCTGTGTGCTTGCTTAACGCTACCACGAAATACATGAGCAATCGAAGAAGAAGAGGTAAAATAGGCAACATGGGCACAGGGCACAGAAAGCGCCACGTAAATATTGTTTTAATAAGGGCCGCTTTCGAATAAGCACCGCACTGAAGCCTCCCAATATTTTATAAGCACGGCGGCACTTATTCGAGCTTGTCAATCATCACTCTTCATTAGGAAGCGGTTGGCGCATTGGGTTGCTCACAGTTCCGGCGGCATAGGTACTCTTGCCCTGCCTGTCGTGTGCGTTGCCCTGCCGTCGGCGGAAATTTTAGCGACGCCACTGGTGATTCTGAATCTCAAGGTCGGGGTTCGAATCCTGTGAAAATCGCTTGTGTTTTTGCGAGCAAGGAGATTTATTTACGTGGCCTCTCTTCACCTAGGGGTGCAAAATGCGTTGGTACTTCATGAATTCCCCCATAGAAATCACTGGAGTAATAATGTGGAAAAACGTTCTGAGACTATATAGAGCACTATATAAACACATACATAATGATAGTTATAAGATGCGGAAGCAAATTGTTGAAAGTTGAATAAAAAAATGTGGAGAAAAAAGAAAATACATTTAATTAAAGCAAGTCTGAGTGTCATTTTCGGCCACCTAACCCTAACATTTTGTACCGGTACCTCTGCCTTAACCATGAAGCTGCAGCTGTGTGGATACACTCTCAATAAAGTCCCTCCCTTGATCTCCTCTATTTACTGGAGCCGCCACTGTGCATCATTTTTTTTAACTTATCGCGTCACCACACTTCCGCTTCAACCTGCTAAACTGGCGGATAAGATTACCGAATAATAGGCACACCTTTGACAAACCAAACTTAATTCCACGTAACATACTCAAACGCTTATCAATGCCGAACCCGTGAATCAGACACTTTCCCGAATAATTGATGTGTGTGAACACAATCTGCAGTTGCCTTATTTGGAAAAACCTATGCGTTCACTTCAATAGACGATGCACCTTGAAATTAGACAATGAAAACGTTTATGCTTTCTGTGCCCTGCTGTCGACAAGCAGTCTGATTAATACCTCTATGGTCTGTCTGACGGATTTACACGCCCTAGTACGTCACCATAGACATCGTACAGTATTACTGTATATTATAATGTACTGTACTTGTGCCACGTTGTGCGGATGTGTATTGGATGTGTATTTTTAGACCTAAGACCCAACCGGTTGGATGGACGTCAATCCTTAGGAGAAAGTGGATGAGGGGTCCAATTGCAAAACGAATAAACCTTGGGCTGTAGGGCAAAGCTTCGTGTAGGGGCCCGGGAGCCTCCGCGGGCCCCGGTAGGGTCCAGGGTAACTTGCTCCGGTGTGGGTCTAGAGGGAGAGCCCCCCCCCCCCATGAAGCTCCGGCGTTCTAGTCTTTAAGTCGTATTTAATTGATTTTAAAGATTACAATTTACCTTTATTCACTTTCAG